ATAATAGGTATAGTTTATGATACACTACATAACACAGTCATAGAAGAATTGTACATGTATACGATAAGGGATTTTCATTACGTTACATGTAAATTCGTTAAGGACTTTGTGAGACATTCGCTTCACACTTATCATTAAGTCATGTATTGTAACCAGAGTCTCCTAGAGGGAGAGCATGATAGTTGTATATAGATCTATATTGGTTTTGACAAACCCACACCTTAACTGCATGCAACAGTTAGAACGGCAGGTCTGGGGTGACAAATGTAATAAACAGTTCTGACGCTTGAAGAACGTCTTTTCAGGCCAACTAGGTCATAGCATGGTTATAATAAACTCACAGAAAGTATTAACAAACATAAGAATTTATGGGAATTTCATTTAATTCAAGCGCGTTTAGGTCGATTTAAACACATCATTTTCTATTAGTAAGAGGGGTTACTTATACATTTTGGTCTTCGGTTATAAGACTACATTACACAGATTTTAAGGAAAATATCGGATTTTTCTGAAATAAACGTGACATTTACAAGAGAAAGACTTTTAGCAAGTTCGAAAACAAAAACTTATGAACTCACCAACCTTTGTGTTGACACTTTTCCAAACAACTTTTATTCTCAGGTAATCACTAAACAGGTACCAAAGTGCATTTTGATGATGGGACGTTAAGGCATCAACATATCATGTTTTTATTAACATATTGTAATTGATTTGGAAACATGTAACTCATATACTGATGTAACTTTTTCAATTATATATACGTTGGTTGTGTTTGCTTAAATTACTATTGCAATTGTGGTTATGATACTATACATGAAGTCCTCCACCCCCGGACGTTTCCACCATCCTTGGTTTGGGGGTGTGACAGATAGCATACGCATCGAGGCAGCCGAAGCCTCATGAGATGAGGTATCCCACCCATGATCTAGAGTTGGGAGCAGTAGTGTTCGCTATCAAGATCTGGCGTCACTATCTTTATGGGGTCCAGTGTACCATATACACGGATCACAACAAATTGAAGTACTTGATGGATCAGCCCAACCTGAATATCCGACAGAGGAGATGGTTTGATGTGGTAAAGGATTATGATTGCGAGATCCTGTACCACCCGGGTACGGCTAACGTGATAGTCGATGCCCTGAGCCGTAGGGCGGAAAGTGCCCTGCTGCGGGATGTTTGCATGAGATTGATAGTGATGACTCTGGTGTTGGACACCATTCGAGGGGCCCAGGCTAGGGCTGTGAGACCAGAAAACCAGAAGAGGGAGCGAGCTATCGGGCAGGTATCCGAGTTCGTTACCGATAGCTAGGGGCGTATGACATTTCAGGGTCAGATTTGGGTACCGTTTGTGGGCAGGACGCGTACCATTTTGATGGAAGATGCAGATCGATTGAAGTTCTCGATACATCCCGGGGCCACTAAGATGTATTTGTGGCCATATATGAAGAGGGACGTCTCATGGCACATTGATAGGTTCCTAACTTGTCGTAAGGTTAAGGCAAGCACCAGAGACCGCATGGTAATTTACAGCCGTTAGAGGTTCCCGAGTAGAGGTAGGAACAGATTACTATGGATTTTATCACCAAATTGCCGAGGACTGCGAGGGGTGTCGATGCAATTCTGGTGATTGTAGACAGGTTGACGAAGGGTGCTCATTTCCTTGCTATCAGTGAGAGATCTTCCGCAGAGAGGTTGGCAGAGATGTACGTGAGGGAGGTGGTATCGCGCCATGGAGTACCTATCTCGATTATCTCAGATCGATATGTGCGTTTCACTTCTAGATTCTGGAACAAATTTCATGAGGAATTGGGTATGAGGCTGCATTTTAGTACTGCATATCACCCACAGATTGATGGGCAGAGCAAGCAGACGATTCAGACACTCGAGGACATGCTTCGAGCATGTCTATTGGATTTCGTCGGGAGTTGGGATACGTATTTACCCTTGGCAGAGTTTTCCTACAACAACTGCCATCATTTGAGTATTGGTATGCCACCCTTTGAGCTGTTGTATGGGAGGAGGTGTCAGACCCCCATTTGCTGGGGAGAGGTAGGGCAACGTGTGATGGGTAGTATAGAGATCGTGCTTCAGACGACTGAGCAAATACAGCAGGTCAGACAGAGGTTCTTGACCGCTTAGAGTCGTCAGAAGAGTTATGCGGACAGGCGCCGGTCCGAGCTCGAGTTTCAGGTTGGCGACTTCGTGCTCCTGAAGGTCTCTCCTTGGAAAGGAGTGATCCGATTCAGGAAGAGGGGCAAGTTGGGGCCCCGATATATTGGTCCTTTCAGGGTGATCACGAGAGTAGGAAGGGTAGCCTACAATTTGGAGCTACCTGCAGAGTTAAGTTAGATTCATGACACCTTCCACGTGTCGCAGCTGAGAAAGTGTATAGCCGACGAGTCGGCAGTGGTACCATTAGAGGATATTCAAGTGGATGTGAGCCTGAACTGTGTTGAGAGACCGGTGCAATTAGAGATCAGAAGATCAAGGTTCTGAGGAACAAGGAAGTGCCTTTGGTGCAGGTCGAGTGGCAGCATCGGAAAGGATCAGAGCTGACTTGGGAGCCGGAGCATGAGATGCGTGAGCAGCATCTAGACTTGTTTGCAGAGTGAGACTTTGAGGGCGAAGTCTGATTCTAGTGGGGGGGGGGGGAATTGTAACATCCAGATTCCCAGGGATATTTTTTTATTCATTTATTTTGGAGTTTGTGTAGGGACTCGGCGAGTTGGTGCTTAGACTCGCCGAGTAGGGTCGCAAATTCTTATCTGGGTTCATGACTGGACTCGGCGAGTCCATGAGTGGACTCGGCGAGCCCACGCTGGTTAATGAAACCCTAATTTCCCAGGTTTGGGACCTATTTAAAGGCCCTTAGGGCTGTCATTTGCGGCTACCAAACACCAGAGAGAAACCCTAAAAGAGCTAGAGCGATTGTGAGAGAGGAAAGGAGCCATTTCTTGATCTTTGTGGTTGATTCTTGCAAGAAAGAGGTGTTTCTAGCTTAGAGGATACCAAGGAGGTGATACATCTGTGGATTTCGAGATAAAGACTTCATCTTTGAGGTATTATATCGCCCCTTTATCTGTTCTGTTGAAGGAATCCATAGATGTAGAGTTTTCATGTCCTTTAATGGAAGAAATTGTGAGAACATGGCCCTTATTCACTTTGAGATTTCGGATCTAGACCCATAGTGGTCTAAAGAGCTTATCTTAGCTTGCTTTATGTTGAGCTATAGAGGTGTTGAGCTTAGGATGCTATTTTTGGGGCTAAATCACCAAGTGAAAGCTTCTAGACGTCCCATGATTGTCAAGATTCGAGCTTTTCGTTTTTATCAAGCTTGGGAAGGTCAGATCTATGGACCAAAGGAACATATCTGACCTCAGGAGGTCAATTGAGTTTCTGCATGGCATGAACTCGCCGAGTCCAAGGGCAGACTCGGCGAGTAGGGTTAGGGTTTCCCGTAAATCACTCAGTGAGTAGACTCGCCAAGTTGGGGGAATAACTCAGTGTGTCAGAGAGGGATTAGAGGACTGGAGTTCAAGGTGGAACTCGCCGGGTTGATCTTGAGTCTCAGCGAGTAGAGTCGGGGTGGCCTCGCAATTCATGCCAAGTGTGACTCGTCGAGCAAGGGGAGGGACTCGACATGCCAAACCAGACTAGAGAGTTAGTGGACACATGTAGACTCGCCGAGTTACCCAAGTGCACTCGACGAGTCGGGTCAAAGTTTAACCGTTGACTTTGGTTGACTTTTAGGGTTTGGTCAACAATGAGGGCCTTTGAGCCAAAAGAGGGGTAAAATGGTCTTTTACCCTTCCGAGGGTGCCAAAATAGGGTTGAGTCTAGTCCTGAAAGTTATATTTATGAGAGTATTACTTTATGTGATTAGGAGGAGGCTAGATCGTATTTCTACCGAGTCAGAGATTTACCGAGACATCTGAGGTGAGTCTTCTCACTATACTTTACCTTAAGTGGTAATTAGAGTTATGTGACAGAGTTATTGTATGTTACTTATGTGGTGTGTTGCACTGCATTATTTCAATGTGATTGATGGCATGTGTATATCAGAGTATATCAGAGATAGAACTGGAAGGTTCACAGAGCTAGGACCAGAGGGTCCATAGAGTTAGGGCCCAAGGGCCCATAGAGTTATAGCCTCAGGTGGCTAGTATGTGTTATGTATGGTATTTTGGGGAACTCACTAAGCTTTATGCTTACATTGTTATGTGTTATGTGTTTCAGGTACCAACGATGATCGCGGGAAGGCGCTGGCATGATTCGTACACACGCATGGGATTTTATGTATTTTGATCTTGGGAAATATTTTGTGAAACAAAGATATGATAGAATGAGATTTTGTTAATAAATGTTTTTGGAAAATGTGTTTTAAAATGCGAAAAATTGTCTTAAATTTTACGGTGTTACAGTTTTGCCGCTTTTGAAAACCACATGACCATTTTTTTCAAAATTTTCTAGTTTTATTCTCATTTAAAGAATGTATCGATTTCTATTGGGATAATATCATTGTAGCACATGAAACTTTCACCAAATGGCTAATTTGGTCCTTAAATTTTTTTTTTGTACATTAGGCCAGTAAACTCGTAAGTGACCTTTTAATTATACCCTTTTATCAAGTTTTAGAAGGTTTCCCGGTTGACCTTTAATATATGTGAATTAATATATATTTTTTGTCTAACCTAATGTTGCGTGAGATATGCCACGTCAATTAATGATATAATAAGCTTAAATCCTATCATCTTCAACTATCGAACTTTAGTCGTCTTCAATAATCAACTGTAAAAGAAACCGAGTTAGGGTTTGTGAAGCATTCCTATGATCGAGCTGAAGAAACAAAGTAGTCGCAGCAGTGGCACAATCAGAACCTAATGGATTGTTTGCGATGGTGGAACTGAATTACCAAGGGGTATTTAATCGAAATCCTTTCTCTTACACTGGTGGTGTGAAAACCATGTTCACTGATGTTAATTTTTTTTCTATGACTTATTATGAGTTTGTTAACTTCTTCGAACGTTTCATACAGGAAGAGTGTAAAAAGTTTTACTACTGAAGGGCTTAATCCCATTTCAAATGATGTTGAATATGTTGCTTTCATTTTTGATGCTTATGGAACAGATGGTGTAATTTTGGTTTATGTTGATCATATTGGGGTTGGTGTTGATGGGTGGCTTGATGATGAAGATAATGATCATGATGAACATGAGTCTTGTATTGATGGTGAAAATGAAGACAACATAGATGAACTTAGAAATGATGCCTTTGAATTTAATGAGGATGTATTGTATACGAATAGTACATCAAATGATCCTTTCTTGAGTAACTTATGTGTTGATGATGAGGATGAAAACAACATTGTATATGATGATAATGGGAGAGAATTTGAAGTTAACATACAAACTCATTCCATATTTAATGAGATATTACATTGGAAAAAACAAAAATCAATTCTAGGGATGAGATTTAAGGGTCAAGGGCAAGTAAAATCAATGTTATGTAATTATGTTGTAGCTAATGGATATCAATTGTGTTTTGAAAAAATATGATAGGACAAGACTTTTGGTGAGGTGTAGCAAGGGTGCTTGCACATTTAGGTTATGGGCTTCCTGGATGAGTGATGAAGAGAGTTTCCAAATCAAGTCACTAAAAGCTTATCACGATTGTTCAAGAAACTTTATGTTTGGATCATTGGTGACATATGCATGGATTGGGAGTAACTATACCAAAGACATTGTAGAAAGTCAGAAAATAAGTGTAAGGAAGCTTAGGTTAAAGGTAATGGCCAAGTTTGGTATCCAAGTTAGTATGGGGAAATGTAGAAGAGCAAAGAAGTATGCACTGAAACTTGTTGAAGGTAGCTTTGTTGAACATTATGGTAAGCTAAGGTCATATGGTCATGAGATTTTAAGGACAAATCATGGGTTAGCTGTGAAACTAGATATGGAGTATGGTCCATATGGAAAGAAATATTTTAGCAAGTTCTATTGTTGTTTTCAAGGAGTTAAACAAGGTTGGATTGAAGGGTGTAGAAGGATAATTGGTCTTGATGGATGTTTTCTTAAAGGTGTTTGTAAGGAAGAATTTCTTTGTGCTATTAGGTGGGATGAAAATGACAAAATATATCCTATTGCTTAGGTAGTTGTTAATGTGGAGAACAAGCATAATTGGAAGTGGTTTTTAGAGCTTCTCATTAATGATATAAAGTTGAATTTGGGCAATGGTTTAAGTTTAATGTTAGATCAACATAAGGTTAGTATTTTACATAGTAAGGCATTTATATTTATTATACATTATCTGAATTAAAGCTTTGTAATATATGAATTAAACCTTTGGACTACTACAGGGTTTGATAGAGGTTGTTAAAGAGTTGTTGCCATATGTAGAGGACAGACAATGTGCTCGACATATTTGCCATAATTTGCAGAAGAGATTTACTGCTGCCATATATCATACCTTGTTTTGGAGAGTATCTAAAGCCACAACTGAGCATGCTTTTAAAGTTGTGATGAAAGAAATTGAGACATTGAACCTAGATGCCCATCAATATCTCATGGAGAAAGATCCTAAAACATGGTCAAGATCTTTCTTTCAAACTGGAAGGTGTTGTGATGCAGTTGAAAATGGGTTCTCATAAAGTTTTAATGTTGTAATAGTAGATGCCAGGAAGAAGCCATAATAACCATGTCAGAGGAGATAAGATTTTACATGATGGATAGAATCTACAACATGAAATTAAAGGGACAACAATGGGGAAATCATATTTGTCCAGAGATAAGGGATAAAGTGAATTTGCTTAAAAAGGCTCAAAGTCATTATCAGGTACTACCAAGTGGATTAAACCAGTTTGCGGTAAGGGGAGCAATAGATACATATAAGGGGGACTTAGAAAGGAAAACATGCTCATGTAGGTTGTGGCAATTGAGATATGGATGTGCTCATTCTGTAGCTAGGATATCCTTCTTAATAGGGATGTAGAAGCCTATGTAGACAACATGTTTAGCACAACCACATTCAGGAAGGCATACAATTACAAAATTTCTCCCATGAATAGCAGTGACATGTGGCCAGAGGCAAACTATACTCCACTATTGACTCCTATTAATAGAAGGATGCCTGGTAGGGCAGCTACTAAGAGGAAGAAATCCACTACAGAGAATACAAGAACACACATGGTTTCTAAGGCTGGAAAGAAAATCAAATGTATTATTCGTAAGGAGATAGGTCACAAACAAGGCCACTTGTCCACAAAGAAGGCCCCAAAAGTTAAATGTGAAGAAACAGAAGATACAAAAAGTTTGTGTGAAGCGAAATGCAGGACATGTATAAGTGAACCACAACAACATGAATAGGTTGAAATGACTTCGATTGAGATGGATACTACTCAAAATGATATGCAAGTTACTCCTACTAATGTTGAATCTAGTAGTGCAGGGGATTTTAGTCATTATATGCAATTTACTTGACCTAGATGTTATGAACGTGATGAGAGTGTTATGGGTGAGGAAGCTGATGTGGTTGAGGAAGTTGTTGTGGTTGAGGAAGTTGTTCAAGATGAGGAGGCTGAGGAGGTTGATCCTATTATCCAAGTTAATAATGTAAATGTTCAGGAGGTTAATGAGGTTAATCCTAATGCCTAAGTTGATAATGTTAATGTTAGTAGGTTGCTCTTGTTATCCAAGTTTAGCATGTAAGTGTTAGGCCAATTTCATAGATTTTGAAGAGGATAAGGAAAAGAAAGTAAGAGAGAATATTGAAGCTGAAATTAGGCAAAACAATTGGTGGTGTGGATGATCCAGGAAATTCGAAGGGAAAAGCTCTTGTAATTGATTAGTGTTTATTGTTATTTGTATTTAAAGTTTATGTAATCGGATGATGGTAAATTGGATTTAAAGTTTATGTTATAGGATGATGGTAATTTATATTTAAAGTTTATGTAATAGGATGTTAGTAATTTATATTTAAGTATGTATGAAAGAAAAGGGTATTTTGGTTATTTAAGTATGTATGAAAGAAAAGGGTATTTTGGTCATTTAAGTATGTAAGAATGAAAAGGATATTTTGGTCATTTAAGTATGTATGATAGAAAAGGGTATTTCGGTCATTTAAGTATGTATGACATAAAAGGGTATTTTGGTCATTTAAGTATGCATGACAGAAAAGGGTATGTTGGTCATTTATTTATGTATGATAGATAAGGCTATGTTGGTCATTTATTTATGTATGAAAGAAAAGGGTATTTTGGTCATTTAAGTATGTATGACAGAAAAGGGTATTTTGGTCATTTAAGTACGTATGACAGAAAAGGGTATTTTGGTTATTTAAGTATGTATGACAGAAAAGGGTATGTTGGTCATTTAATTATCTATGACAGAAAAGGGTATGTTGGTCATTTATTTATGTATGATATGAAGTATGAAAGTATGTTGCCTTTTTAAGTAAAATATGACATTTAGCTTTGAATATTTATGCATGGAAAAAATAGGAATAATGTGCATGCATGGGGATGTTTTATATGGTCCCTGATATGGTTCTATAATGGCTTCACAGGTCCCATTTTTTCATTATTAAAACACCCACTGACTACAAATGGTCCCCACACACATTGTGTACTTCCACATGGACCACTTCCTAATTTGCTGCCAAATTTAAAACATGCACAACAGCCAATTTAATTAAATATATTTATTGGGAATATAGGCCATGCATATGTTTGATTAACATCAACATCTGATTATACAAAATCCCCTATAATTGGGACTTTGATTTTTTTTCACATTAATTATCATATGCACTTTCATTAGGGACTTACCACCTTACAACATCAACACATTAAGGTTGATAACCCCAACTTATAACTAAAAGCAGCTTCAATACATACAAAATGCCCATCATTACTGACTTTCTAGTCTGCTTTTACAAAAAATACAGGGGATCCCAAATAAACAAAAGCTTACACTAACCAACCTAACTAACTACAATGACCCCCCTAACTTCAAAACACATAGGGCCAAGCAAGCAAACAACAGGGAAACTATCATCCTCTACCTGCCTATTTCCTACCTTGCATCATGAACTTCTTTCTCACTCATTGCCACCTTATATTGCTCCTATGACAGTAGAAACTCCACTTCTACAATCCTTCTCCTCATTTTGTTCATCTCAGATAGTTCCTCTTTGGCATCCAGTTTCTGCTTCAAAGAATATAGTAGGTTTTTGTAGTACCCGTCTGCCTGTTCTTCATCTTTCCATTCAAAGAAGCTACATTTCCTCAACCTAGTCTATAAAAAGCCAATAAAATTAGGGTTTGATTGACAATCACAAATCATCTACCTTTAATCTACCAACGAAATGGGTTTTATTCACAGTGATCGTCAAGAAGCAAATAAAATTAGGGTTTTTAACAGATGAAACAAAATACAAATACACCATTATCGTCTTTACCGAAAGAAACAACACATCAAACCATAAAATACTAACTTATCAAAATCAAGAGAATTGGGACCTATCATATTGTTTTGACAATTCCATAACCGCCTCCCAGGGTTTGTTATCTTCCAACAGGTTCGTTCTTTTGCTGGAACGACACAATCACAAACCTTTACCCCTTCTTGTGACTGAACAAGAGTGAGTTGTAGTTGATTCCTTGACATCGATAAGCTCGAAGACATTCTTCTTCAGGATGGAAATAGTCGGGGAGGGAGAAGTCTTTGACTTTTCAGAGAAGGGTAAGTAAAGATTTAATGGAGGTTTGAATGAGGGTTTGAATTAATAAGCCTATATCCACAACTGGACTTCTTCGACACATAAGCTTCCCATGTAAGCTTATTGGACACATCAGGGTGCCACATAAGCATTGTAACTGGGAAACCTTCTAAAAGTTGATAAAATGGTGTAATTAAAAGGTCACTTACAAGTTTACTGGCCTAATGTACCAACAAAAAATTTAAGGACCAAATAAGCCAATTGAATAAAGTTCCATGTGCTGAAGTGACATTATCCCAATTTTATTTTAAGTTTCTTAATAATTTGATTTCAGTTTACTTAATAATGTTATGTTTGAAATATAAGTATATGTTTGGCGGAGATAAAGAAGGTTATCAACTAGAAAGTGGAATGATAAAGACTTTTCTAAAAAGTAAACTCATATCTTATAGTTTAATTATATTGTTAAATAATAAAAAGAACGTGTTCCCTTAGTTTGATATTTGTTGAAATACCAATAGTATAATTTAATTAGACAGTTAAATAATTAAATTATCATGGTTATATATATATATATATATATATATATATATATATATATGTGTGTGTGTGTGTGTGTGTGTGTGTGTGTGTGTGATGCGCCCCTCAAAGCGGGTCAGAACCAAGCGAACCCCCGGCAAGGTGTTCCTAGTGAAGCCTGGGACGGAGACTCGACCGCCCTGGCAACCCCGAAATCCTGCAAGTCGACCGCGTAGGAAGTCCGCCCTCGTCAAGCGTTTTCCTTTAGCTACAGTCCAAGGATAACGACTCCAAGCTACAAAGAGCATGGCCAGAGCACTATCGCTTGGACCAATTGTTGGACCGGACACGAATGTGGAGTAGGGTCCTCCAATAAGGACGATGGATCGTGTCGGAAGTGCAGTCTTTATCCCTCGTACGAACCAAGGAGGATCCTCAGTATAAAAGGATGGTTACTCTGCCTTGCGAGTTAAGCTATTCTCTTCCACAATCATTCGTCTACATACTTCAAATTCACCCCACTAACTTAACCGTCAGAGCGTCTTTATGGGACCTCCTCCTGGAGAGAGGCTGATATTTCCTCTTTCTTTGTGACCTCTCAGGTTCTATTACGAAGATTATCCCCCAGTTGCCAAGGTAGTTCGGAGCCAGGTCACATCATTTGGCGCCATCCGTTTGTGTGACAACATATATGCAAACCCTTTTTCTTCTTTTTTCTCTTTCAAGATAACCACATATGACGAAGAAGACGACGAGTGAGCCATCAGAACCACCGCATAGCCCGATACACCGGATGGCATCGTTGGAAACAAACAACACTCCAGCAACGCCATCTTCCGACGGCCCACCACCATCTTTTGAAGCAACGCCATCTTCCGGCGGCCTGCCACCATCTCTTTAAACAGCACCACCCTCCGGCAACCGACCACCATCTCTTGAAGCAGCACCATCATCTGGTGGCCTGCCCCTATTTCTTGAACCAACACCATCTTCTAGTGGCCTGCCACCACCTCTTGTGGAAGCACCGCCATCCGACGGTTTGCCACTATATCCCATGACGGTACCATCACTAGATAACCCGACACCCTCCGTCGCAGCAATCATGCAATCGATTTTAACCCATAATCAAACATCACCATCCACTCCGTCCCACACAGCACTCCCACCATTCCCAAATAGCGGTGTACTTAACCAATACATCATACCTAACTTTCCGCCATTTTTCCCCAACGCCGTCGGCTCTAGCAATCCCCAAACAACACCCATAACACATTTCATGAATAGCTTGCATACGAACAACACTATACTCGGCCCAAATGCTACACCACGACCATAGAATCCCCCGTTATTAATGGCGGGCACCGCATCAACATCACAACTCGCTTTCTATTAGCAAATACCCATGGTCCAACAAAAAATACCCATGGCCCAACAACAAATACATATGGCCCAATAGCAAATACCCATGACTCAGACCTTCCCTACTCCATTTCAACCTTCAAACTTCTACGACTCTGTAGCGCCAGACCTCACAGCCTACAACAACATGTTAGTACAACCCTTTTTAGCAAACCAACAGCTAGGGTATCACTTCCCTCAGTGAACCCCAAACCAAGACTGCTTTTCACGAAGTGTCATATCACCGTTCGTCAAAGAGCTCCTAGAATACGAAATCCTTAACACCGCCAAACTACCCCACCTTAAGACATATGACGACACCACCGACCCAGATAGCCACGTCGATACATACGAGTGGACCATGATGTCCCTCAAGCTAGACAAATGGTTCTGGTGAACATACTTCCCCACTACCTTAGATGGCATGTCACACCCCGAAAACCGAAGGCGGAAACATTTCCGGGGCGAACTCCACGTTAAGTATCAAATCCAATGCACATAGTAAATCAGTAATCACAAAAACATTACATTACATAATATTGTTACATCTGTATGCAAGTAAAGTTGTACAAGTGTTTTCTATATGTAATATGAACAAAAGTAAAGACGAGTCTTCGGGACGCTCCGTCTTCTCCAAAAGGTTGCGATGTACCTGTCAAACGCTGACCTGAGAATACAAGCAGTTTGAAAATCAGCATATAGCTGGTGAGTTCATAAGCGGTTTAGTTTTGCAAAGAACGGGTTTCCTTTGCTTTCTGAAAAAAAATTGTTGTTCAAGAAAAACCCATATTTTCTTATGAAAACAGTTTGGTTATCCTTTGTTACAATTTCGAAAACGGTTGGTTATGTCATTCCAGGAAAATCCCATATTTTCCTTATAGTTTTAGTTATTCGTTTGTTACTTTATCCATTTATGTGTTGTTGTACTATCCAGGAAAATCCCATATTTTCCTATGTGTTGAGTTGTCTATTCATTTCTAAGTTCGTTACTGGTCGTTATGTTATCCCAGGAAAATCCCATATTTTCCTATGTGTGGTGGTTGGTTCTTAGGTCTGATTTCGAAGTACTAGTAATTACCATGTAAATAGTATTTGTTACGTGTTCTAAACCCTTAGTTATTTTACATTCGAATAACTATTATCTACTAGCCTAGTTGTATTTTCGAAGTTTTGGAATCACACAGAAGCATACATTACAGTATTTTCGAAGTTCTGTTGAGTTCCAAAAGAGTATATTAGCTGTGTATTCGAAGCTCTGTCGACATTCTGAGGCGAATATATTTGAAACTCAGTAGAGGTCTAGAGGCATATTTCTGTATTAAATTCAAAACTCTGGTGACACTCAAGGAGTACACTAACTGTATATTCGAAGTCTCAGTGTCAACCAAAGGCGTCATTTCGCATTCTTAGTCGTATTCACATTCGTAGTCGTAGTCGTATTCGTATTCGTAGTCGTAGTCGTAGTCGTAGTCGTATTTGTATTCGTATTCGTATTCGTATTCGTATTCGTGTTCGTATTCGTATTCGTATTCGTATTCGTATTCGTATTCGTATTCGTATTCGTATTCGTATTCGTATTCGTATTCGTATTCGTATTCGTATTCGTATTCGTATTCGTATTGATCTTAAATATGATTAGTATGATTTCTTATTCAAAGAGAATATAGTTATAACACTCTTAAAAGAAATCTATGTTTAACCTGCATTTCGAAGTGTCAGTTATCACAAATCTTTGGAAATCAAGACATTTAGTAAGTAAAACCATTGAGTTGAGAATCAGTTTAAGTACAAAATAAACTTGTACTTTTTGCTTGTACTCCCCCCTTGAAAACATTGAAAACACGGAAATAGGGTAGGGGTATGAACTCACCAGGCTAGGAAATGCGACGGTTTCGGACCCTAGATGTTGGTTCGGGGCTTGATTACTTGCGATGTCCCTATGTAAAATGTAATAATGTCCATATATATCTAATTAGATTTACAATGACTAATTATATGGTACATTACACTCCAACGAGGTATCACAAATCTTTGGAAATCTATGTTCAACACCTCAAAACGAGCGTTTGGAGTGAGCCGGGCGACATCTTCGGACGATAATGGCACTAGGGACTTGGGATTTAAGTTTACTCCCCAAGAGTAAACATTTAAGGGAGTTTACAGCCACAAAACACACACATACATGAGTTTACGTCCGTAAACTCATGTTGGTGTGATTTTGAGTGTTTAATGGCTTGTTTGGACATGGGGATTATTGGAATGGATTTCTAAAATGCCTTGGAACGGATTTTATGAACTTATACCATTTAAAAGGGAGTTTATGGCCCTAAACTTGGAGTTTACGGCTGTAAACTCTACTATGGTCAAGAATAATTAATTTGAGGTATAAGGGACAATCACATGTGATTCTAGTTAATTTTCCAAGCCTTGTTATGAATTTAGGGCACCATTTAGCATAATTTTAGGAGTTTACGGCCTAGGGGCATGTTCTATGGCCGTAAACTCTCATATGTAGGGTATTTGATGTGTTTAAGGTCCCTAAACTATTTTTAGATGGTTCTAGGATTTAATACAAGGCTATTGGTTAAGTTTCAAGGCATTCTAACATGTAAAAATGAGTTTATCCCCCATGTTTGAGGAGTTGACAACCCAAGCACATGCCTTGGCTGTAAAATCTCTTTTGTCCCTCAAAATGCAAGTTTAGAGTGTTCTAAGGCCATTACCAATATTCTAGAAGTCATATCTAAGTCTTGTTTGTGTCTTGGAAGGGTTTAAGGGCTTAAAAACCCTCTAAATTAGTGTTTACGGCCTAGGCACCTTCCAGGGCTATAAACTCATATACAAGGTCCTATTTCATGTTTTAATCTCGAATTTAAAGGTCAAATATGATACACAATGAATTAAGGAAGGTACCTTGGTGATTATAAGCCTTAAACTTGTGATTTGGACCCTTAAATTTGGATTTAGGAGAGAGGTTAGAGAGAGAGTAGAGAGAGGAAGAAAAAAATTCAAATGGATGTTTAAACACATTTAAATAGGTCCTGAAACTTGTACACGGTGGAATTCTACCCAATACCAATGTTAAACGGGGCTTTAGGTCGCACCCGATTAAGTTTCCGTAAATCGACGGGGACGTTTCTAAAATTTCTAAATTATACAATTTGGGCTATTTTCGTGAGTTCCTAACAGGTTTGGACACTCATTAGCATGAATTAAACATATAAGTTTAATTAATTTAACCCAAAAATGACATCCGAACGAATCGATATACGGCGAGTTATACGGGTAGAATGGGTTTTCGGCGATGAACAACTTCGGGTTGTTACATTATCCCCCCGATAGAGGGAATTTTGTCCCGAAATTCAATGATTACAATACATGTCATGAATTGGAATGAGGAATGGATGGATTTGCTGATCCGGGTTTTCACGCTCCCAAGTGACATCAGGTCTCCGCTTGACGTCTCAGCGAACCCTCACTATCGGGATGCGTCTTGATTTCGTTGGGTAGATACTTCTCAAAGACCGAGACGTGAAGTATCAGATGGGTGCTACGGAGTTCCAAAGGCAATCAAAGTTTGAAGGTTACGGAATTGATTTCACAAGTATCGCAAAGGGTCTAATGTATCATGAGGGAAGTATTTCGCTTTTCCAAAGCATTCCATGTTTTTCCCTAGGATAGGGTTGATGATCCACTACGAACTCGTGGTGATCGCATCAGGTCCTGGTCGTTGTATTGAATACATCAACTTCCGGAGGTTCGGCTACGAGGTAGCTCCAGGAACCAGATTAGTACGAGACTTGACTAGACGTTCGGAAAAGAATTCTCGAGAATTCTTGGAAAGGCATCAGGGGAAAAGTTACAGACTTCCCGTTTTCCAGAATATCATACGAACAGGGAATGGATGGAAAAACTTTCTAAGCTTTGATGTACAAAGAATATGAGAGGTGGGTCAAAGGAAAGTTACGAACAGATGACCCTTTCAAAGACAAGACTAACCGCATAAATGAGACTAAGTCATTCCATGCCGAGTTTGCATCAAAGTTTTCCATGAAAGGTTTACCTTTGGATCAAATGGAAAGGGATAACCATCCGAATTGAGGATACGATCTAAGGGTATGATGTTAACACTTTCTTTCTCACTGGTCGGTCATCTCAATGGTGCACGTTTCGTTTACTAACAAAGGATCTAATTTAGAAAAATATTTGAATGAATGGTTAGCAAATCCTTTCATCATTAGAATCGAAAAGGATTATGGGCACAAAATTTATCGAGGAGAAATATACCTGTGGCAACGGTGGGGTCGGCGATTGTCCTTTCCTGTCCCATAGTTAGGATTCTCCTGGTGTTGCCAGACGTTACTATCTTTGGACAGTTTCGCTTATAGTGCCCGACCTCTCCACAGCTGTAGCAGGTTTGACCAATACCAGCTCCGGAAGCTTGACTAGTTGATGGGGTTGGGGTTTTGCAGGT